TGGTGAAAACTGTGCAATGTGCAAATTGCTGTTAAATATTAGGGTAAATTAGGGTCCCTCGATGAGATAAAGTTAAATTACGAGATAACCCTCCATGTTTCGATAATTACAACCACCTCTCTCAATTATGAATCTTTTCACGCGTCCACCCTTGCGCGGTCAAATTCAATGTAATTTTCTAGATTACGTGGAATATTATCCAGTTTGTACCCGTTTTATCCCATTCAAGCTCCGTATTTTGAAACAATATGATCATAAGATGTGTCTCTTGGCTTGTAACTATCAGATTGTGGTGTATTAGAAACTGCATTTTGCGCAAAACGTATACAAACTAGATAACATTCTACGGAATCTAGAAGATTATGTGAAACTTGACACTGTAAGGGTGAATGTGGAAGAAGATTCATAGTAGAGAGGGTGGTTGTAATTACCCAAACAAGATGTATTTTTTCGTAATTTGATCTTACCTCGTTGGGTGGCCGTAAGTTATCCTATATATTAATATAATATGATTAACGGTGAGTGGGTTAAATATTTTGGAGGTTTTTAATAATATATTATTCACAAAAATAAAATAAAATAAATAATATTTGTAATGTTTAACCACATTATTATTGTATAGGTGGCACATTCATTGGGACAATGTGTAGACTATAATTATCACTCAATTATACTCCTACATTTTTATTAGTTTTTACCTACATTAGTAAATAAGTCATATAAAAGTTTTATATCAATTCCAACATTAGACTATATTTACATCATTTAATTTAAAAAAAAAAAATTAATACAAAAATAAAATTGATTTATTACCCTTGCGTCCTCCTTCGAGTGTATATTTTGATATAGATTGTGTTTCTTTTTAATTTTTATTTATTTATTTATATATATTATTCATCTATGTATTTCTCAGCTACCTCAGAATAGTAAGAACAAATTTAAGAAATATACAATAAAGGCATAATTGAAATCGTAAAGTAACAAACAATTTGAAAAGAAAAAGCTCCAAGACGACAAATAAGTTTGCACGGATAAAGTAGTTTAAATAAATGTCACGCCATCATTTTTTTTAAAAAGTTTTATAATACAACAAAAATAGTCTAAAAATTACCAAAACGTTGATTTATTCAATACTATATGTGGTGAAATATATTAAATGTATCAAATATCAATCATTTATTCAACACACAAAAATACATATATTCTTATTAGTGTGTAGTGAATAATAAAATATTTCCATGATGATACATAATTTCCCAAATGTAATATAGAATTGATCACCCAAAATATTAGAGTTTATTGCAATAAACTTATTACAAAGATAATGACAGGATTCTCATTAAATTAGAGTCTAACTATATGGGGCCATATTGAATTGACTGCAAACCACAAGGACCATTCTGCAGAAAAATCCCAATATGATCAATTTCCTTTTTTTTCTCTTTTTTTTTTTTTTTTTTTTTTTTTTTTTTATCTAATTTAGAGGGTTTTTGGCTAAGCTTATAAGATGTTAAAATGAACTTATAAGATGTTTTAGAGCTTATAAGCTCTTACAAAGTGTTTGGTAAATTTTTAAAAAAAGATCTTAATTTTTTATAAAATAAGTTGTTGGAGAGCAAATAAGATCTTTTAAAAAAAATACCTATACCCCACATTTTTGTTTAAGATCTTATAAGAAGTAAAAATAGGAAATAAGTTCATTATCCAAACACTCTAAAAATTAATTCAAAAAATAAGATGTATCAGCTTATCAACTCTTAAAACATCTTATCAGACGTAAGAGCTTATCAGCTGTTTAAAATAAGTTTAGCCAAACACCCTCTTACTCATTATTATACTTTCATGAGCAAATTACGGTCACCACTCTAAGGTAAGGTCAAATTATGAAAAAATCTTCTATTTGGATAATTACAACTAACCATGTCAACTATGTATTTTCTTATAAAAAAAACCCTCATCCAGTAGGTAAATTTGATACTGTAAGAATTTTCGTGTAAAAAAATTCATAATTGGGGGTTGTAATTAGTCAAACATGAGAGGGTTTTTCGTAATATGATCTTACTTATGTGTGGCCGTAATTAACCTTACTTTTATTTATTTAATTATTATTATCATTTTCCCGTTTTCCAAAAGTATTTGGTAATATCCAAATTAGTACCTCATAAACCAACTACGTAATCGAAACGTAAAAAAATCAGAATAAACAAAAGCGGGTCGAGTCCGACAGAGTCGGTGGTGAGAGAAAAAAAAAAAGCTAAGCTCACTGCAAGGAAGAAAAACTCTCTCTCCTCTCTCTAACTCTCTAAAATTCCGGCGAATCTCCGGCGACATTGTAACCGGCATGCCGGATTCCTTCAAATTAGGCGGTTTTCTTCTGTACAGCGTCTCATTGGAGCTCTCCATCACTGTTGATTAAGTCTATTTTCCATGTGAAGAAATAGAGCGAAAAAATTGCCGACTGTTTGCTTGCCGGTTCGCATTTTTGGGGAGTGGTATCGAAAGTATATTCTCTAGTACGGTGACGATTCCCGGAGCGTGCGGTTCTCCTTTTCCACGGTTCCGTTTCTTTGTATTGACCTCCGATCTATCACTTTTTCAAAGGTGAACCAAATCAGCCGAATCTGATTCTATCTTTGGGGTTTACTTTTGGTCTGCTCTGG